ATAGTATCTATTCTTCCATCTAAGTGTACAGCATAGATAACTCTTCGTATTGAAGTCTTATGTAGTCGCACAGTTTGTCGGATCTTGCCTAACTTAAATTCGCGAAGCTTTGCTCATTACCCATCTTAGTGTCTGAAGCATATAACCGCATATATGCTTCTGCGAGTATATATACGTCAAGATATATATTAATCTACGTTATATTATAGGCCTTTTAGGATCTTTGCGATATAATATATGGAACCTTATTTATTGAATATTAAGTTAAGTAATATTTATAATATATGGCGCTGAGATTATTAAGCAGGAAGCAAAATCTACGTAAGTATTGTTATACAGCTAGTAATAGATACATGATATCATCAACTGTAATCAAGGCTGTTGAAGAAATAAAATAATGTAACGAAAACAGTACAACGGTATTGCTTACTAGTTAGCTACATGCACCCTACGTCAGTGCACCTTTTTCCAATTAACCGTCTGAGCAGATAGCAAGATCTATTCAATGCCTAACCTTTTCAAAACCGGAATAAATTTCTCTCCCAAAGTCAAGTTTTCACTAATGAAAATTAATAGACAAATAGTTTATAGGGAATGGATTTAAGGCTTGCTTAAAAAGACGTTTTCCAGCTCGTCAAGCTCGGAAGATTTTGAGACGATCAACACGTTAATTTAAATTAACTTTTTTTTTTTTATTCTTCTATTCTTAAGCTGATTTCTATTATGTTTTTTCTTGTACAATTCAGAGTAAGTAAGCACTTGTGCATTTTCAAAAGACCTCGAACTGCTGTGAAAATTTACTGGTTATTTAGTCCACATCATACTGTGAATCATTTGCCGTGGTTACCTGTACATGTTCAAGTTGTCAAATTCGCTTTGATCTGGACAAATACGAGCTAAATTGAGCGCAAAACGATAAGAAACCGAAAAACAAAACAAAGCTTAATTACGTTGTCAACAGACCCTAAATGCAAACCAAAATGCAAAATGACTTGTTGATTACTATATTGTTCACTTGCGTCATTAAACCACATTGAATTTTAAATCAGGATCAGTGAAGAAAAAGAGATTTGTTTTGTCCAAGATAATATTTGTTTTTCAGTATTTATATGTTGAGTACTGAAAAACCGAAAAAGAAACTTTAGACGCCTTATCAGATTGAAAGACTTGTGGTTAGAAATAAATTCTCAGAAATACTGAACAAAAGAAATACTCAATTTACTTGAAGCAAATTGAAGCAGTAGAGAGACAAAAGAGTCGCCGATTCGCTTGCGGAAAACAAAAGGGCGAAAAGAATTGATTATGCGCAACATGAAGTAATCAAAATACCGCACACTGTTTGGTGACCTTATTTCAGATAGGAACTACGCCGACTGTAGATTTTTAATGCGGAAAACATAGGCACACGTCTCGTTCACTGGACAGCGAAATGAGGCAGTTTGGAACAGTCAGAAATCTCAGGAAATGGTAGCTAACAGACCTTTAAAAGCCGTCATTTGCTGTAAACTTTGCCTTGTTGCAACTCGTCGCAGAGTTTGGCTGTCATCGCAGCTAGACGATTTTCGTCTGAACGACTGGCTTCAAAGTTTAATAGCATTTGCTTTCGGGATATTAACGGTTATCAGTTAATTTCCGACAAATTTCTGAAGTTTCAAGATGGGCAATGGTAACACAAAGCCTGGCGTCATGCGACGAGTAATGCAAGCTAATAAGAAATTCAGAGCAGTACTTCAACTTTGGGAAGACGATCGTTGGGACAGGGAACCATGGAAAGCAATCCTTAGGAACGGGCCCTTCGTTGTCCACCGCAAAAGGAAGAAACTACTTGAATCGAAAGACGAAGATTTGATGGAATACTTCAACAATCTTCTCCATGGACACATACATGCGGATTCACGATGGAGTCTTCCAACCAGAGAAATTGCTATATTTTTGAGTTCAACTTTCACAGACATGGCAGTAGAAAGGGATTTATTAATGGAAGACGTGTACCCATATTTGCGAGAATTTTGTCGAAGGTTAGGGTACAATTTCGGTGTGGCGGACATGAGATGGGGAGTGCGTGACGAAATGACGGACGAACATCAAGCTGTGGAGATTTGTATCACGGAAGTTCAGCGATGCAGGTGAGTAAATTTATAGACGATGCGTCTGAGTTTGTTATTCCAGGAAATTGATACCCGTAGTTGATTGCATCTTCGATAGAGGAAAGGGTTTTGCGCAGCTTTACATAACAATTCAACACCATGTCCGTTACGTGTTCCATAAATATTCACTTAGCTAAAATCGAAAAGTAACGTTGCTTGGTTACCCCAAAATAAATCCATTGTCGTTTTTCAATACTTTCTAAATGGTCAAGAAAGAGGACAAATCCGACAAATTCGGCGGTGAAATATAATTCTAAACCAATTACAGTAAACAGGGATGTAAGGCTGACATGTAATACCACTTTTTAACTACATAAGGCGATAACCTTGCTTGTAAGGAAAATGTCTACTTCCGGGCAGGGTAATATAACCTCTGCCTATGTCCACGAATGGTTCCTCTTCACGGATTGCTTGAATATGACTGTTGATATAATGTATTAAGTGAGAAATGATGTATTTTTCTGGCGATAAGTTGGAGTTTGTGACTAAAAAAAATGGCAAAATTTCCTTCAACCAAACCCATGTATTTTAATTAACTATGTCTGAAAATTTTATCAGTTCTGATCCGTCTCTTTGAAGTCGTTGTTGAAGAGCACTTATCAGACTTCTGGGAGAAATTGCTATGAGAAAATTCGCCGTTGTAGAGTCACTCCTTTGTTATTTGGAAAATTATAGAAAAACCAACAGCAGGCTCTTTTCAGTTGACGACAGGTACCAGGAATTTAAATATTCTACTTTGTACATTACCGATTCTTTGTACACCTGTACATCTTAATTTCAACCTGTGAATTTTAATCTTAGCTCTCTATTTTTAACTTTGGAAACTTCGTAGTGTTGATTAGAATTCGCTATCTTAATTAAAGTATTTTCCGCTCATATTGTATGTTAGAAGTTGCATTGTCATATTGTTAACACTTGACGTGTAAGGGATGATACATAAGCAAGTGCTTTCGTAAAGCTTTTTGGATTACATTGATTACACAGACGATTACGATCATTATTGACGTATGCAGAATAAACTACTGTTGGACCAAGTTATGTCTCTTCCTTGACGTCCGTAGTGAAGACCTTTGAAGTAGATCCTCGTGGGCGAGGAAATCGTGACGACTTTCCGATCCCGCAGGCAAGCAGTGCTCTCCAGCGTTAGCTCCCCCCCAGTTGTCAGTTCAAGGGTCGTCCAGTTAGAAATTTACAGTGTTTGCAGGAAACCTATAGTCACAAAATTCAAAACTGATCGATTTGAGTGTTGAAACCGTAGAATTATTTGGTGATTTTTTCCGAGTGGTACGAATGTTGCTGTTGAGGAATTTCAAATGTACGAAGATCTTAATATATTTCCTTCACGTGAAAGTTCAGTAACCTTTGCACATGGATCTATATATAGCAGCTGACTACTCTGTATATGCAAGATTATTTTAAAAGTATGTAAAAGAGCAAAGTATTGATTGAATGATCCGCTGTCTTTCGTATTGACAATAAAATCAAATCGAACCTCGAATGAATGGGTCCAATCAACAAGAACACACTTTTTCCCCCTGAGTTTGTGTTCATCCACATCATGCCGATTTACCATGCCCATTTATGGAAAACTGATGGTGGTTTGTTTTCAGGAAAGAGTCCATAGGACCTTACATGGTTTGCATCATTGGTGACAAGTATGGCTACAGACCAATTCCTGTCAAGATTGACAAGGAAATCTTTGAAATGCTTCTGGGAAGCGTCAAAAGTCACAGTGGCAGTAAAAATGCCTCCGAATTGTTAGAAAAATGGTACAAACTTGATGAAAACAGTGTACCCGCAGCATACGTCTTGCTGCCGGTTTCAACATTCCTTCCTCACGCTTATAAGACCGTTGTTTACTCAGACGAAACGAAGGCGAAGCAAGAAAGACAACAATGGTGGCAAACTCTGGTAACTATGAGAGAGGCTTTGAAAAAGGCGGCAAGCCAGATCGATTTTACGGCCTTTCCTGTCTGCAACATGACCGAGGAGGATTTTAAGATATCAGTGACAGAAGAAGAAATCACAACTGGAATTAAAGGAGAGGACATGGACCCTAGTTACATGTTTTTGTTTCTTCGGAACCTGAAAGGGTTAGAAGAAGTTGATCCAAACAACAACGGTTTTGTGAAGCGTTTTATGGACGTTGACGAACGTGGGCGTAAATCTCAGATTGCAAATGGAGATGATGCGAAACTCTTGCTGGACAAGCTCAAAGACCACTGCCAAGGGTTAATACCAAGCAATAACATCTGTAGGTAAAAAAACCGACAATTTTTTCCTGTACATGCACATGCAATAACATCATATATGTCATACATTTGAGTTACAGATCAGCTGTCTGGGCTAACAAGTTTCTTTTGGTGGGAATAGTGAAACAACGACTTGTACAATGACGATTTAACTAACACGGGCGACACTAAAATGTGTCACTTGTTGTAAATGTCTTAATCAAAACCTCTGTGCCCGCTGTGGGTTCAGTTGAATATCATATTGTGTTTTCTCGGTTTATAGAGTGCTAAAAGTGCTCTCGGTAAGTGGATTCATGATTCACGCAATCTTAATCTGATTTCAACTTTCATAAGACGGGAATTTATTCAAAGCCTACATGTTATGTGCTGCGACAGGTTTCAGCCGAAGAAGGAATCTTCGAATGGGGCTCATATGAAATACATTTCACCAAATTTCCCTGATGAACGATCTTGAAAGCATTTTGTGTTTGGAAACGAAATCTGTCAGTCATCTGCCACGCTATTCATAATCATATTCCAAGAACTTCTCTGCAGTTTGATTGGTGTAATTTGAACATTTACATTGCAAAAACCAAAACAAAAAATCAAACAAACAAAACCAAAAGAAGTGGTCACTTAAACACTCGAATCGTTGAGCCATTTTAGCTGCCAGTTATTCTTTCTAAAACATGAAACATACATACTCTGGATTATCTTTAATTAAGGCTCAATCGTAAACTACGTCCAGATAAAACGCTCTTTACAAGCAGCATACTGAACAGCACCATGTGGTATAGACAACAGTTAAACTAACACCTTGGATGAACAGAATGAAATCAACCAATAACGTTCCCTTTTCCAGCGGTATGAAAGCTATTGCACAGACGTTTGGGGGTAACACTTTGCTTTATTTTCCAGATACAGCCTTGAATTTCACGTCACTGAGAATGGTAATATCGATATGAAACAGAACAAAGAGGACATAAAGACATTCTGTGACAAGTTTTGCCAATTAATGGTGGATAGCATTCAAGAAGGTTTGATAGTTACTTCTTTATGACTTTACACAGTGAAGATAAACAATGACCTTTAAGAGAACAATAGAACAAACAATAGAGACAATGCCCCTAGCCCCAAAACAATAACAGCTGCTACACCATGCATGACAACAAGCAGAAGAATTACAAGCTTACGAGAGCTGCTACACTTCTTTATCTCTATATAAAAAAGCATCACTGTTAAATCTGTTTTGTTTTAACTTACAGCTGTGGCCAAACATCGGGTAATTAGTGACCCACTATATCTTGAAGTTCTTCATCACGCAACGATGGCAGAGAAAAGGACGGAGGCATTCGTTGGCAGGGTCCACCTTCTGCGAAAGGTACCAGTACTGTACTACTACACTCTCTTAGCTGGGCCTGAAGACCTAGGGCTGATTCACCCAGAATCATCTTGTTAAATCAGCCATTCTAATACTTTCGTAATTTTCGGACCCTTGACATGCTTCTGTGATTTACCTCTTCAGATGGAAGCATACCTAAAACTGGAGAACGGTGAAAAGGTTGGTGGACACATAATTAAAATTTCCTTTGGTCGAAAAGGGACACTCACGGATGCCGATATTACTATTGTGTTGTTTCTCTTCTGGCCATAAACCTTTAAGAGAGGCATGTATTACTACGAGCTGTTTGTTAGTCTTTCAGTACATTTGTACATCCAGCGTTTAGAGCTTAACTCTTGAAAGTGTGTTCCGTCTTGATAATGCTTTTTAAATTCTTGTTTTCTTTAAGTTTCTCCGGTAATCTAAATGTGAAAAAACAGGGGGTCTTATTACTAGACACTCTAGGTTTGAAGAAGTTCAAAGTGTGGTTCTTATCTTATTAACATGGAATTCCTCGTTTTTACACGTCTTTGTTATTCTATTGGCTATTCATATTGGGTTCTTTTTTAACTTGGATTTTTATTCTCATGAAGCATCATTATTACTCATTGGCCATTCATTTATTAGCCATTCATTGTTCATGGTATATCTGGATGCGGCAAAACATCACTTTTGGCAAAGGTGTTCACTACGTCCATTGAAAACTGGAGTGGAGTGGACACTGGAAGGTAATCGTCTCATCCTATAATGAAAAAAATAAACATCGTAAATACTTGAAATGTAGAGAACTTCAGTTGTTCGTTTTCAATGACCAGAGTGCTCTATAAGGTAGTTACACGGCCGTAACCAGGAAACAAATTATGACTGAGACAATGCCCATGCAACAAATTACGACTGAAGCAATGTCCATGGTCATTCTCTGGCCTAGTTATCTAGGGTGTTTATTATGGCTATAGACAACAAAAAACGAAAAAAATGACTGAGGCAAGTGCCTCTGTTTGCCTGTTACTAGCTATTGCCCTGGACTAAGAAAAACAATTCGAAATAAATGTGTGACTCTAGACTTACGAGTCTTTTTGGAATACATCTCTGTCTGGTATATGATTACATGTATACACGACATTTTCAGTCAACAAATTTAGATCCCTTTTACACTAAGTATAGCTCTAATAACTTGCTGTGTTCTTATAATTTCGTTTTTGATGAATTATGTATTAAAATTTCCGTTTGTAGGCCATTTCATTTCATAAGATTCATTGGAACTTCGCCTTTCTCGTCCAATGTGAGGTCTATGTTGAGGAATTTATGTCAGCAGGTAACGGTAGATATAGCTACAAAAACTATCAGTATTTAGTATAAATCTACTAGGCAAAGCGTTCTATCACGAATGCCGCTCTTTGATTGGCTACGCTACTCACTATCTATTCTTATGATAGACAGAGAGTAGCGTAGTAGTGTGCCCTTGTTAACAAATTGATGGACGCTTCTTGGCGTTTTCGAAGTCTCTGTGAAGAGGATTTAGACAAAGTTCTGAACGACTAGTTGATGTACATTATCATGACTAAAACAATTAGATTTTTCCCTCTCGATTTCTATGCGTGATAGTTGACGCGATAGAAATCTCAAGCTCATAATCTAATTGTTTAAGAGCTCAAGTTCGCAGGCTAAAAACTGACCTGCTATTTTTACATATTTTAGATAAAATAGCTCTGTCTTCTCTCTCTTCTTGTAATTCATCTTGTATTTTTGTTCTTTTCCATTATGACAGATTTCTCTCGCTCTGAATGATACATCAGCTGTCATTACAGATAACTATGAGCGTCTGGTAGCAAGATTTAGGTTGCTTCTCCAAAGAGCCACAGCGGAAAAACCAATCGGTAACCAATAGTTTCACTTTTATTTAATAGGAACGTTTACTGACTAATTTCTTAAGGGCACCTTGAGAGTGTTGGTGACCCAATGGTTAAATATTATCAGCTACAAGGAGTATCCCATTTTTTCTCAGTTCTGTTCCTTGACTCTTTGGATCAGCTATCCGACCAAGATGATGGTCGCTCACTAAGATGGCTTCCGACAAGTCTTCCCAAAAATGTTCATATTGTCGTGAGCACCTTGCCTAACACAGGAGGGTGCCTTGCTGTTCTGAGAACTAAACTGAAACAAGAGAGCAGTGCTGACTTTTACCTTGAGGTACGTTCAGTTTTGCCTTTTTCCTTTGTCGATCTTCCAAGTTCACGTATAGCTGAAAGTGCATGAGAACGAATAATATAAAAGAGGAAATAAAGTGCACTGTAAAGCCTGGTCTACACGAGCAACTTTTCGTAGGTGACAACCTTTCTTTGTAACATAAAAGCAAACACGCCAGCTTTTCAACAAACGCTGTATATTTGTCTCCTAAAAACTGGGAAACTTTTATCATCTACAGGAGCAAATAAGAATTGTCACATAAAATTTGCTCGTCTTGACCAGCTTAAGTTCACCTGGCAACTATTGTCCTTCTTACTTTCAACAAAGCGAAAGGTTATCGATGAAATTTACTAAAGTTGGCAACCTATAAAGTCGAGAAACATCTCTTTATTGCAGTCCAGCTGCGTTGGAAATCATTATGATTCAACTTAGTAGTTCTCTACCACACTTACCTTTAAGTGCCACATCTCAATGAGGCCAACGCTTTTAAAGTACTCGATGAGTTTAAAAGCTTCGGACATTCCCTGACACTTGACACCTACTCTTAAAACTTAAGCACTTTGCAGTTCTCTGAACACAAACGTTCAAAATCATGCAGCAAGAAAAATATCACACGCCGCATGTTAGCGACAAGGGGGCAAAAAGCCTTTTATTGAAAGTGTTCTTCCAGGTATAGGAAAAAGTTTAACATTTGAAAAATCTAAAACGTAGCTAGGTTGATAGCAGTGTTAAATGTAATTTTTTTTTTTTTTTTTTTTTTATGCACTACTTTCAACAGGTGTCGGCCCTAGAATCGAGTGATGCCGAAAGCATTCTGGACACGAGACTGGAAAACGAGAAAAGGTACAAGTGTCCGCTGATTTATCAGCCAAATCCGACCCAAGTAAACTCAGGCGCTCTTTCATATTAGCAGTGTGATTCTTCCGAACCAGCCTTGCTATAGTTATATCCAATGTCTGCCTTAGTTAGACCTTTTCAAAGATAACGCCTACAATTTTTGTTCATCACAATTAGACCTATTTTTTGCCAACCTATCATAGTTTTTGTCAAGCGCAATCAGTAGTTTCCACACATAAGGCTTAACTATCTGGAAGAGGGCCGACCGCCAGGATCGTATAAACTCCATCTTAATTCCATTTCCTTTTAAAATTAATTGGGGAGGCAGCGTGGCCATAGTGGTTAGGGCGCTGCATTTGTAATCTGGAGGTCCCTGCCACTGGAGGTATTTGTGTTTGGTGGTTCCAGATTCAACTTCTCCACGCTTTGTAAATAGCCAACCGGCCAGTCTCCCGCTAGTTGGAATTTTTAAGAAGTTTCTGCTCAATTTTCAGTGTCCTCAATTAGCACAGTTATGCTAAAGACTTTGACACTTAAATAATGTGATTTATTTATGTTATGTTATTTTATTTTATTTTATTTTATTTTATTTTATTTTATGTTATGTTATGTTATGTTATGTTATGTTATGTTATGTTATGTTATGTTATGTTATGTTATGTTATGTTATGTTATTTTATTTTATTTTATTTTATTTTATTAATTTTGGCAGGAGACTCACAGGAGAGCAAAGAATGCAAGTGTTGGAAACCTGCTCTAAGCCAACAGCTCTGTATATGAAGTTAGCCTGTGATACAGCAATTCGATGGAAATCATTTTCTGAGAACACGCAGAAAGAGCTAAGACCCACAGCTACCGAGCTTATCATACAGCTCTTTGAGCGGTACGTGAATCCGGCTGCCTTCTTGCGTCATTACAAAGAATTTGATGTGACCTAAGCCTATTCCTTTTTTGCTCCGGGGACGTTTTTCATTTTGTCATTACAGAGAAGTTGATGTGACCTCCTCCCTTGTTGCTCCAGAATGGGTCTTTGTAAAGAAACAAAATTCTCTACACTCACCCTCTTCCTCTTGCGCCTACAAACAAGTAAATTAACCTTGGATACACTTATTTTCCTCATACTGTCAATTTCCTAAGTTAACCCATTGACTCCTGGAGCTTTTTGGAGATTTTCAGGCTGGATATGGGCCAAATTAGCTCCAATCTACTCAAAAAGGCATTTGCAACACGACGGCATGCCTTTCTTTCCACTAGCATCGTAGGCTCGATTACCAGCCGCTGTTCGGGAAAGGAGCCCGCGCTCCTCCCCCGAACTCAAATCGGGGACGAACGTAGACCGGACTCGAGAAAGCGGCGGAAATCAAGCCTACTAGCATCGCGTTTTACGACATTTTCCCTCAGGCATGCGCAGAAATCAAAATGTGACCTACGTCTTCAGGCTTTTCGATTTTTTAATTTTTTTTTTCGCCTTTCCTTTTTCTCCTTTTCTTTTCTATTTGCTGCAGTGATTGACCTTTTACTAAGCTTGCTTCCACTTTAAAGCATTCTGAGAAAGCATCATCGAGACATGCAATTTTTGCCATGGAGTAGCCACGTGTAGGGGCAGGAAATTTTGCTCTGAGTTCTTCACTCAACTTTTTGAGCATTTTTGTGCATATCTTAGGCTCTATTGGGCCGATCACTTTGATCTGGGTATCATTGGAAAGATCTTTTCCTCCTGCAGAAGTTGAGCAAAGATGATGCCAATTTTGGTCAAGGGTGATGACGTCAGAAGTGGAAGAAAGGCCAAGGCTCGTTAAGGCCGGTTACGGTCGGCACAGGAGTCAATGGGTGAAAAAAATTGGAGTCAATGAGTGATGAAAAAATTCCTCGTCGTTATCGTTTTGGATTGATTTGATTTGTTTTTTGTTTTTACTATCATTCCAGATTAGTCACCGAACACGGGGAACAATTTGTTCGTCGAGCCCTGGGTTACATTACAGCGTCCAAAACAGGTCTAACGAAGTCAGAACTGGAAGATATCTTATCATGTGATGATATTGTGCTCGCTGACGAAGTCTTTAAATACCACGTTCCCCCAATCAGAAGACTGCCCCCGTTACTGTGGACACGACTCAGGAACGACCTAGGTAACAAACCTTATTTGCCTTAATTGGTAATTGAAATAGAAAACCTGAGGTGATATCTTTCTGCAGTGGTTGTGTATCCTGTTTTACACTTAAGGGAGGTTCGTTCAGAACGAAACATAGAGACTTTCGTAAAAAGGGTGCATTTTCAATATGCCGTCCTATAATAGATGTCGAGGAGACACAGTCTTCAAGGAAAAGCTTTTCCACGCGAAACTTCTCTATCTAATGTGTTGAATTCACTTTAATTAGTTCAACCCAAAATGTACCGACTCATGCATTTCTTCTGGTGAATCTCCGCAGGGAGAAACACATAGACATCTTTTTTTAGTCAAGAGGCTACCTTAAAAGGCTAATTATTAGCACGAATAAAGGAAAACCTGCTTTTCAGTACCAGAGGTTTCACATTTCTTTATCCATTGTAGGTAGTTACTTAGTCAAAGTAGCAGCAGATGGTCACGTGGTGTACAAGTGGTATCACAGATTGTTCCTGGAGGCTGCGAGAAGTTACTTTCTAGGTGATAAGCCTTTTACAGACTCACTTCACAGAGATCTGGCAAACTACTTCAATGGCAGGTAAATAATAAAGTACGACACGCCTGTCAAGTGTTCCTTACCTCTAATAGGCCATAGTTGTGTTCTCGGAATTGGACTGGAACTAGCATGCAATAGAGGCTCATGCGGGGGAATATCATTAAAAGGAGATTAACTTCATTCGCATTTAAAAAGACTCCCCGCATTAATTAGCCTCAGTTGCAGGCTACAGCCTTGGTCACAAGGGTTGGAAAAAAAAATCATTCTATACACATTTTGCCCCTCCCCACCCCTGTGCAATGTTGACAAAACACTTTCATCCGACACAAGTTTGCATTTTACCGTTTTCCAACATTGAAAGGGGAAATGGGGGTGTTGACACTTATTATGTAGGTATTACGATTGCGATTTCATGTTTTTGGCATTTTCCAACACAATTTGTCCATGATTGTAGCTACAGTACAATACTGAGAATACGAAAATGGTCTATTACACAGTAATGACAAGATTTAATAACCCTCGATTTCATATTTCATTCCTGGCATGAATATTGTTCAATATTGAAACTTGAAGTTTTGTTGTGAACTTGTAATTAAACCAAACAGATGTATAAGCATGTGATGAGACAGTAGAAGAGAACTCATGCTTCAACGATCATTCCCAGCACCGTAAGAAAATTGTACAAAAACGAGGACAAACAACAGAAGTAATTTGGCAACAAAGTATAATCGCAAGAAGTTTTATACTTAATCGTATATGCTACAACTATCGATACATTGTTGTTAAGGTTTTAAGACAGTTTCTGTCTTGAAGGTGGGCACGCGAGGCAAAGCCGTACACAGATAAGCAAGGTAACATAAGAAGTGCTCACAGGATGGTGGCGGACCAACCGCTGATACTAAGTACTGACGTCGAGGAAAGAATGGATTTGGAAGATGAAGAGGCTGGACCCAGCTACAATTTGCGTAAATTGAGCGAGCTTCCTTACCATTTAATACGATCTGAGATGTGGAATGAATTTGTGGAGGTTCGAAATATATTTCATGTTACTTCTATTTAGGTAATTCTATAACGCACATGAAATGCA